TGTAAAAAACATAGAAAGAAATTCAGAAAAAAAGAACAAAGCCTACAAGAGAGGTGTGATTACATCAAGAGGCCAAACCTACGCCAGAAGAAGGGAAATGGAGAACACCTTGGAGCAAGTATTTGAGGAGGTAATCCAAGAAAACTTTCCCCATCTCACCAGAAATGTAACAAGTTAAACATAAGAGATACAGACAACCTCCACAAGACATCAAATGATAAGACCGAAGCCTAGACACATAGTAATTCACCTGTACAAAGTAGGCACAAAAGAAAAAATCCTAAAGGCAGTAATAGAGAAAGGTCAGACTATCTACCAGGGAAAACCAATCAGAATAGAAGCAGACCTATCAGCAGAAACACTGGGATTAGAGTTCAAAATTCAAAGTCCTCAAAGAAAAGCAATTTCGACCAAGAATTTCCTATCCAGCCAAGTTCAGCTTCATCAGTGATGGAGAATTAAAATCCTTCCCAGACAACCAATCCCCAAGAGATTATGTAGCTTCCAGACCAGCTCTACAAGAGACTTAAAAAGGTATTAAGCACAGAAGTAAGAAAAAAAAAAAATGACTACACACTTCCCAAGAGAACAGCAGAGCACAGAATCAACAGAGAACACAGTGCAACAACACACTTGAAAACACACACATACATCAACCCCCAAACCAAAAGAAAACAAAGAAACAAACAAACTTTATAAGCACCTCATGGCAGGGATAAACAACCACATTTCAACAATCAGCTTGAATGTGAACAGACTAAATGTACCACTGAAAAGACACAGAATGGCAAAATGAACAAGAAACCATAACCCAATTATTTGCTGCATCAAGAAAATTCATCTCACCACAAGGTTCACACAGACTCAAAGTCAAAGGATCAAAAACAAGTTTCTGGGCAAACAGATCACAAAAGAAGGCAGGCATCGTGATCTTAGTATCAGACAAAACAACCTTTAAGCTATCAAAAATGAAAAAAGATACAAAAGGCTACTACATAATGATAAAAGGTTCAATTCATCAACAAGAAATATCCATCCTAAAAACATATGCACCCAACACAGGAGCACCAGCATTTATAAAGCAACTACTAAGTAAACTAAAAAAAAGATATTGACTCTAACACCATTATAGTAGGAATATCCCACTAACAGTCCTAGATAGATCACCGAGGCAAAAAATCAAGAAGGAGACCCAGAACCTAAACTTGACACTCGACCAAATGGACTTAACAGATATCTACAGATCATTCCATCCAATAATCAGAGAATATACATTCTACTCATCACCACATGAACGTACTCCACGATTGATCACATCCTTGGCCATAAAACAAGCATAAACAAATTCCATAAGGTTGAAATCTTGCCATGCACATTCTCAGACCACAGTGGAATAAAAATAAATATCAACACCAACAATTTTCCCCAAAGTCCACAAGACATGGACACTAAACAGCAAGATGCTAAACAACTACTGGGTCAACAATGAAATCAAAGCAGAAATTAAAGGATTCCTGGAAACAAATGAAAACGAAGAAACATCTTACCAAAACCTCTGAAATGCCATGAAAGCAGTTATAAGAGGGGAATTTATATCTCTACAAGCACACATCAAGAAAACGGAGAGATCACAAGTTGAGAACCTAACAAATCACCTAAGGGAGCTAGAAAGAGAAGACCACCAAAACCCTAACTTTAGCAGAAGAATCCAAATCATCAAAACAAAAGCCCAAATACAGTACACAGAAGACAAAATAGCATACAAAAATCAACAAAACAAAAAGCTGGCTCTTTGAAAGAATTAACAAGATTGATGAACCCCTAGCCAGAATGACCAAGAAAAAGAGAAAAAAAGCCCAAATAAGCACAATCAGAAATACAAAAGATCAAATCACAACTGACCCTGAAGAAATACAAAAGATTATCAGAGATTCCTACATACACCTATGTGGAAACAAACTTCACAACCTAAATGAAATGGAGGATTTTCTGACATCACACAACCTCCCCAGGTTGAAACAAAAAGACATTGAGACACTAAGTAGACCAATAACAACACAGGAAATTGACTCTGTCATATGAAAACTACTTATGGGAAAAAAACCCTGGAATGGATGGCATTCCAGCAGAATTCTACAAAACATACAAGGAGGGGCTGATACCAATCCTACTGAAAGCATTCCAGGCAATGAGAAAGATGGAATTCTCCCCAAATCATTTTACGAAGCTAACATCACACTAATACCCAAACCGGGTAAAGATCCAACAAAAAAAGAAAACTCCAGGCCAGTATCCCTTATGAACATCGATGCAAAAATCCTCAACAAGATTCTAGCAAATCAGACCCAAAAACACATCTCAAAAATTATCCACAATGACCATGTAAGCTTCATCCCCAGGATGCAATGTTGGTTCAACGTTCGCAAGACCATAAATGCAATTAAATACATCAACAAATGTAAAAACAAGAACCTCATGATTATCTCATTAGATGCAGAAAAAGCTTTTGATAAAATTCAGCATTCCTTCTTGATAAAAACCCTCAAACACCTAGGTATAGAAGGATCATATCTCAAAATAGTAAGTGACATCTATGACAAACCCGAAGCTAGCACACTGCTAAACAAACAGAAACTGGAAACATTTCCCCTGAAAACTGGAACAAGACTAGGCTGCCCACTCTCGCGCCTTTTTCAACATTGTGTTGGAAGTCCTAGCAAGGGCAGTGAGACGAGAGAAGGAAATCAGGTGTACCCAAGTACGAAAAGAGGACGCCAAGTTGTCCCTCTGTGCTGACACTCGGAGCCTGTCTTGAAAATCTAAGGTAATCTGTCAAAAACCTGCTTGCAGCGATAAAGGACTTGGGCAAAGTCTCTGGGTACAAAATAAACATGCAAAAGACAGTTGCATTCTTATAAACCAACAACAAGCAGGCAGAGATTAAAATAAAAAGCACAATCCCACTCACAATAGCCACACAAAAAATGAAATACCTTGGAATCTTCTTAACCAGAGAAGTTAAAGACCTTTACAGTGAAAACTAAAAAACGCTGCTCAAAGAAATCAAAGACAACACAAACAAATGGAAAAATATTCCATGCTCATGGACTGAAAGAATCAACAAACACTGTTAAGATATCCATCCTACCCAAGGCAATCTACAGATTTAACGCAATATTCACTAAATTACCAGCAGCTCTTTTCTCAGACCTGGAAATGACAATACAGGAATTCATATGGAAACATAAATGCCCATGAAAACAATCCTCAGCAAAAGAAAAAAAAAGTAGGCGGTAACACGCTCCCAGACTGTAAGCTTTATTATAAAGCTACAGTAATCAAAATAGCCTGGTGTTGGTACTAGAACAGGCATATACACCAATGGAACAGGATAGAGACTGCTTCTCAACCAACTCATCTTTGACAAAGCCTCCACCACCAACCACTAGGGAGAGGAGAAACTATTCAGTAAATGGTGCTGGGGAAACTGACTGACCTCATGCAGAAGGTTAACACAAGACCCCTACCTATCACCACACACAAAAATCAACTCTAAATGGATCAAAGACCTAAACATAAAACCCCATGCTATAAGAACTTTAGAAAATGCAGGAGACACCCCTATGGAAATTGGAACTGGCAACCAATTCCTGATCAAAACCCCAAGTACACATGTCATAAGAGATAAGATAGACAAGTGCGACCTCATCAAACTGACAAGCTTCTGCGAAGCCAAAGGAACCACCGAGAAAGCGGGAGACAGTCGACACAGACTAGGTAAAAAATATTTGCCAACTGTATATCTGACAAAGGCCTAACATCTAGGATCTATAAGGAACTCAAACATGCTGAAAAGAAAAAAACAAACAGCTCTGTTACAAAATGGGCAAAAGATGTAAATAGACACTTCTCAAAAGAAGACATATGAGCAGCCAACAGATACATGAAAAACCGCTCAGCCTCACTAGTCATCAAAGAAATGCAAAAACCACACTGAGATACCACCTAACTAGTCAGGGTAGCCATTGTCAGTAACTCAGAAAACAACAAATGCTAGAGAGGATGCAGCGAAAAGGGAACACTCCTACACTGTCGGTGGGAGTGTATACTAGCACAGCCTCTGTGGAAAACAATGTGGCAATTACTAAAAGATCTATAAATCAACCTCCCATACGACCCTGCAATCACCCTACTGGGAATATACCCAGAGGAACTCAAATCACTATGAAAAAGATATCTGCACATGCATGTTTATTGCAGCATTATTTACAATACCAAAATCATGGAACCAACCATGCTGCCCATCAAAAGAGGACTGGATAAAAAAAAAAAGTTGTACATATACACGATGGACTATTTTGCAGCCATAAAGAATGACAAAATTATGAACTTCACAGCAACTTGGATGGACTCAGAGGTTATAACACTGAGTGATCTGCCACAAAAACAAAGAACCAAGTGTCACATATTCTCAATCGTAAGTGGACCTTGAACAACTATCATAATACTATAAGAAAGGGATTGGCAGCCATGGGAAACTGACAGGGAAGGACAGAGGTGAGACTGGCAGTAGTGAGAAACTGCTAGGGGAAGGCAGAGGAACGATTGGCAGTAGGGGGCAACTGACAGGGGAGGGGGAGCCCACCTCATCAACAAGGGTACCTGCATAATGGACATTTGCAAAACTAACCCTGAATTGTACCCTACATTTTTAAAATAAAAAATTCAACAGAAAAAAGTAATGCTCGACCTGTAGTACAAAAACACTGTGGAAAGTGTCAGATCCTACAAAGAAAAACTCACTCAAACAGCCTGATATGGTGGTCGAGCACTTCTGTGCTGAAGACTGGGCCCTAAAGATTACTGCAACCAAGAAGTTTGCCTAGCAAATCACTATCTTCACTATCTTGCAGCTGGAAAGTTTCCTGGCTGTTTTTCCACAGCTTAAGTTGTTCTGCTCACAAGGAAGAGCTGTCTGAGGCCTCCTCCCTCCCCCTCACCTTGGGGTGACACTGCAGGATTGTGAAAAGAACGCTGTGCATCCTCAGGAAAAGGCTGCCATACTCCGGCGGCTTCAGGTGCTCCAAGGGGACTGTGAGCAGGATGCCGAAGGCCAGGCTGACGTGATGGGGGTTGCTGATGGTCTCCTCCCCCTGCCGTAGCACCGCAGCCAGGACGTCTAAGATGGGCCCGACCACTGGGAGGGGCACAGGCTGCTCCTGACAAGCCTCTCGGCTTAGCAGCTACAGAGCCAGAGGAGATAAAGGGAAATCAGGTGATCCTCCAAAGAAATAACACAAAAGCAGAAGCACCGAATGGCCAAGGTAACAATGTCCATGCTCCAAAATTAACTGGTGTGGTCAATGAGCAGGTAAACACATCACTTGTTAAATTTCTTACAGATCCAGATGTTTGATTATTGTCATCAGGAACAGAAAACAGAATCAAGAGGAGGGACAGCTCACAGCCTTACCTACGTGACCTGGGAGAGCTCTGCTGTGAATCTCCTAAGACACAGGGCACCCCCACGAGGCCTCCGGGTCCTGTCTCCCAGAACGATCCCTTTTGTGTGGGTGTTCTAGCTGTGCAGACTCCTTACCACACTCTTTTGATGAACCTACGCAGATTCTAACCTGGTATTCTCATCAGTATGGGCCTACCATGCTAACCGTCGATACTGTGCCCACCTGATAGTATGGGCGCCCTCCTCCCCCCACCCCCACAGACCATGGGACTCTCCTTCTGAAGCTCACCACATGCACTGGTGACAATGACACCCTGTACCCACAATGTGGATGCTCAGGAATATGACAAAATCAAAAACTGAAAACAGGACAGAACGGGATGTTCTATTTTTTAGACTCTTTTGCCCTGGGAATTTGCTAATCCAGGGCAATTCTCTCAGGTGGCAAAAGCTAGAATTAGGCTGAGGATGATGGTGAAACAGACACTGCTCCTTTGCACTCAAGTGTGAAATACACAGGTCAGAATCTTTGGAGGGCAGGAATATGGAGGGTATCCCTGTCTGAACCAGGCTTTTATTCTAGTGAAACGAAAGGCCCAGCAACTTCTGGACACAAAATTTAGTATCTGAGCAAGATTATTGTAATCCCGTGCCTTTGGGAGGTTGAGGTGAGTGGATTGCCTGAGCCCGCGGGTTCGAGACCCGCCTGGGCAACTTGACGAGACCTCATCTCTACAATAAAATAAAAAAAACTAGCCAGGCCTGGTAGTGCGTGCCTGTAGTTCCAGCTACTCAGAAGGCTGAGGCAGAAGGATAGCCGGAGCTCAGTGGGTCGAGGCTGCGGTGGCCAGGAGCGGCCACTGCACTCCAGTCTGGGTGACGGAGTGAGACTCCAACTCAAAAAAAAAAAAAAATTATAACAATAACCTCCTATCTGCAACATTATCCCACTCTATAAAGCATTTTTTCATTGTATCATAGACCACATACACACACACACACACACACCCCCCTTATAAAAAAATGAATGCACTGCACTGTCCAACATGTTGTTGGACAAAAGTCCCATGATTCCTTCTTCTCTCGTCTGATCAAACAGGCCCCCACAGTAGCCTCACCTCAGCACCACATTCCTTTTATTACTGCCTGTTTGATGCTTTCTAAGGCTCCAAAATGTCCCTTGACATCACCTCCAAACCACGGCTTCTACTGTCAACACCAGTATACTCAGACAGCATCCTGCACACAGCCATCTTCAGGAAACAGCCACACAAACACCAAAGGATGGTAGCACCCAAAGGCCAACCTTTGTCTTTATGGGTACAGGAAGGAATGAGCTGAAGGGTAGATGTCGAAAGGTACTCACCATTAGAGCTGTGACAATCTGGGGACACGCACACCACAGCAGACTTGCTTTCTCTGCACTGATGGGGCAGTTCAGAAGCAGCTTGAGCAAAGTAACAGCTGACAAAACAGCCTAAGGAAAGGGAAAAAATAGCAGCAGAGGTAGCCCACTCTCTCATAGGATGCCTCCTGGGGAAGAGGCCCACTCCCTGGGCTGGAGTTCTGCTGGAGTTCTCGAGAGCCTGGTGTCAGGGAACACAAACAAGGCCTGCTCAGGGTGCAGTCCTGGGGGCGTGCCCTTCACGGCAGTTTACAGGCAGGGAGCATGTGAAGATGGGCAGGGATGTGGCAGTCCTTCAGCAGCATTCCACTAAACCAAGCACGTAAATGGGCCAGGACAATGAACTGCACAAGGGACACGAACTGTGACCTACATAGGGAGCCCATGTTCTTAAGGAACTGTCCCCACACAAGATACTGGCTTTAACTTTACCGAGCAAGAACTATACCTGTTTACGGATAAGAGGAGGAGCTGGAAGGAAGCATGGAAAAAGTACAGTTAGACTAGGTGCTGTGGTCATGGGTGATGATTTTAAACTGAGACATGTAGGCAGGACCTGCCTTTACTGGGTGCCTATAGAACAGACACTGGCCCAGTGCGGGGCACTTCACACCATGTTCTTCCTAACATTGTACGGCCGCCCAACCCTGGTCTCAACCCTGGTGGCCTCCTTAACCACATGCAGCCAGAAGTCCTGTCTCCACCTCCCCCACCTTCCTGCCCACCCGCGGGCCTGCATGCAGGCACCTCCCTCGCCCATACACCTCAGACCTGCATGTCCTCTCCTCTCACAGGCCACACTGCCTGCCTCGTACCCCCCACTGCCCGCCCAGAGTCTCCACTCTCCAACACTCTGCTCCGGTCTCGCTTCCTCCCAGGTTTCCTCTGACTGGCTGATCTAAATAGAAATGTAGGGTCTGTTTCCCCTTGGCTTACAAAAGGGAAGTCCAGAAGTCCAGAGTCCTTCTCAAAACCGCAGACTCCAAATGCCACAGAGGTTCACAATGAAAAGTGCCAGAGAGATGGGCACGTATACAGGGAGGGAGCTGGCATGGAGCAGCTGGCCCCAGCCCAGGGTCCTCGTGCTCAGATAGATTAGGTTCTCCTGCTACCCTACTAGGACCGGACCTGCCCACCCCCCAGAAGCTCTCAGATCATCTCTCTAGCTCTCCTCCCCCCTGAATCAATACCTAATCCCAGAGTGCTGATTGTGACCAGGAGTCAGTAAGCCTCTTATGAAGCAGAAAAAACCTCATGAGACCTTGGCTTGTAGTCCTGGCTCCACTGACCATTGGTTCTGTGGCCTTCATCTTCGTGTGACAGTGGGGACATCTGTCCAGTCCAGCACACGGGGCCATCTGGAGGAGCAAACCCCAGAATGGGAGCTCTATGCAGAGGTACCCCAGCATATGCGACACTATGCAGGGCTGTACACACGGAGGGGGCTTGCTAACCCAAGTGGCTCTCAAATGCTGGCATGCAGGCTCTGGGACCAAATCAAGTCAACATTTTCCAAAAAGTACGGTGGGAGAGGTCTCAAACAAAGAATGTGTCGGTACTGTGGATACGTGATGCTTAGTATTCACATAAGACCACACATTTGTCATGTGAACAAGTTCCGCTGTGAAAAATAAGGCCTCCTTCTCCCACAGCCCAGATGTGTTCCACAAGCTGTGTCCCCCACCCAGAGGCTCCCTCTGCCTATGGGCTCTATTCTCTATCAGTTTTGAATTGGCTGTTTGGTTTTAGGGGTGAACACCACATCTCAAATGCTTGCCCATCTGAGCCTGCCACACAAGGGAGTGAGACGGGACCCACCTGCAGATCTGCTTTCCACATGTTACTGACGTCTAATCCTTGCAGAATACACTGCATTACCACTCTGAAGTTCTCTGTGGACCCAGCCTCTAGCATCTGGGTGAACAAGGCTCCCAAATCACGCTCAATGTCCTCTGCTGCCTGAACAGGAATTTCAGGATCTGTGTGGAAAAGAAGCCAAAACTGTTAAGATGTGGACAGGTGAGATGAACTAAGAGAGTAGCCATGAGGAAATCGTCTACAGCCAACGCTGTCACAAAATCACAATGCTGGGGCATGGTGACACAAGTGCTGGGAGAGGGGGTTACCCAGACAGCGTGGTACGACTCTCTCACACAGAGCTGCACCTGTGCACAGTAAGCACACACAAACACAGAAGACCACGGAAGACAGGTGACCATTACTTTGTTTATATAGTTGGCCCTGGAACAACATGGGTTTGAATTGCATGGATCCACTTATGCAAGGATTGTCTTCCTCTCTGCCACCGCGAGACACCAAGACCAGCCCCTCCTCCTCCTCCTCAGCTACTCAATGTGCAGACAATGGAAACGAAGACCTTTATGATCTACTTCCACTTAATGACAGGAAATGCATTTTCTCTTCCTAATGATTTTTTAATTAACGTTCCCTTTAGTTTACCTTATTGTAAGACTACAGTATCTAATACCCATAACACAAAAACCGTGTTAATCAACTATGTTATCAGTAAGGCTTCTGGCTAACGGTAGGCCATGAGCAGTTAAGTTTTGGGGGATCAAAAGTCATGTGTGGACTTCTGACTGAGAGGAGGTCAGCATTCCTGACACCCATGTTGTTCAAGGGCCAACTGTACTTTTTTTCTATTTTCCCTGCATTTGCTTTATAAAGTTGGAAGGATACAGAAGTAGGTGATCTTTTTAAACAGACGGGAATGTTGAAAGATCAAGAGGCGCTCAACTTTTTGGGACTGTCTGTTGAAATAATCTAACTCAGGGGTCCTCAACCCCCGGGCCACAGACTGGTCCTAGTCCGTGGCCTGTTAGGTTCGCACAGCCAGAGGTGAGTGGCAGCTGGGTGAGCAAAGCTTCATTCGCACTTACAGTCGCTCCCCACTGCTCACATTAGCACCTGAGCTCTGCCTCCTGTCAGACCAGTGGCAGCATTAAATTCTCATAGGAAGGCGAACCCTACTGTGAACTGCACAGGTGAAGGATCTATGTTGCGTGCTCCTTATGAGAATCTAATGCCTGATAATCTGAGGTGGAGCTGAGGCAGAGATGCTAGTGCTGGGAAGCGTCTGCAAACACAGATCAAAATTAACAGTGAGATTTTACTACACAGAGACCATAATAAATCAGTTTCTTGCAGACTCATATCAAAATCCTACTGGTGAGTGGCAAGTAAGTTGACATACTTCAGCTATACAGCTGTATCTGGTGGCAGGCTTTAAGTAAGTCCACGCACTACCCACCCACTATTTTTTTTAACACTTCTGTCCGTGACTTTTTTTTTTTGGTAATGGTGCCTTTTTTTTGTAATGGTGAGTTGTATAATTATTTCATTATATATTATAATGTAAAAATAATAGAAATAAAATGCACAATAAATGTTATGTGCTTGAATCATCTTGAAAGCATCCCAATACTCCCCTTTCCCTTCTAAAAACCAGTCTCTGCTGCCAAAAAGGTTGGGAACCACTGATCTAGCTGTTTTCCAACATGCCCAGTATCCTCTGGCCCACAGTTTTACAATAAAGTGCAGAGTTAGGGCATTCAAGGCCCATTATCATCTAACCCCAGCTCATCTTTCCGAGACTATTTCACATTGCCAGGACACCTTCCTACTTCCCAGTCTTTGCTTACTACTTAACAGCTCTGGAGATGGGGGAAGCAAAAGCTTTGATCAAGAGATAAACATCTAATTCTTCATTTCCTACAAGTTGTACGACCCGGGACACATGACCTCTCTGAGCCCCAGTTCCTTTATCAGTAAAATGGACATAACAGTATCAGATCCTCCGACAAATAAAAGTACACAGTGCTCACGGCAGAGTGCCCTCATCAGGAAGACTCGCCATCGCTACCTGCTCTAGCTACCTTCCAAAGGTCACTCACACCTGGCCTGCATGCAGCCTCTTAACCCACAGTCCAATCAAGTGGGTCACTTTCTAGCACCCCGTCATCCCTCACTTTGTGGGAAAATCTGTTTCCTTAACCAGATAGGCCAAAATCAACACCTCACTCATCTCCAGAGCAGGACAGTTTCACTCATATGAGAAGCAGTTTTGAAAGCCCTGGTGTCTGTAAGTGAATTCAGGTCATCTGTTCTATCGTCAGAAATAATTCCTTGAAAAAGCTCACTTTTAGGAGCTGAAACCCACCTCTGAGCCATCCAAGGACAGAGGGGAAACTGCCAGCCGGCTCACCTGAGTGGGGTCTTCCAATTCCCTCTCCCTGGGCAAATTTTAGGCTGTTCCTCCCCTGGCCTTTCTTCCAGGCCACTCACAACTCCAGCACAACCCCTGACAGTCTAAAGGCTCAGGTGTACAAGGCCTGGACACGGCAGCACCCCGCACCCATGGGCTGTGGGTACAGTCCTTGCCCAACCCTGACTGCATGTGACCAAGAGGCTCTGTCCCTGGGGTCAAAGGTAACAGAAGTCCAGGGACATAACTAGAGTTTCAAGACTGTCTTGACTCACTAGGGCCAAAGGGGAATGAGAACACAGTAATGTGCTTAACAAAAAGGCAGAGGGGGCAGAGCTTCAGCCCACCAGCTGCGTTTCTCAGCATGTTCATTGAGAACACTGTAACCAGGCTTCACAAGACTTTATTTCAGCCCCTGAAGAAGGGAAACACCATTCCCTCAAAGAGAAGCTGACAGAAGAAGACAGAACGACGTAAGAGCAAAGTCTTTTCAGTCAATCCACAGCCAAGCAAGAGACAAGAGACAGAGAGGTTATTGAAACAAGGACAACAGCGTTATTCGGGCCATGACACTTCAGTTCTGGCACTGGCCCAGACAGACCAGGTGGCTTTCCTTCCTAAATAACCCATAGAACCCTCACACATCTGAGGCCGCCTGTGGCCCAGTTCTGTCATGGCTTCTCCACTGGGAAACAGAGCTTGGCATGGGCTGAGGGTCAGCTCAGCGGATCAACTCTGCAGTCTCGCCCCAAGGCTGTCCCAGCCCTGGCCCAACCTTCATAGCCACCCAAACCCAAATTGAAAAGGCCCTGCTGGCAACCCTCACCACCACCCACATGTCAGCTGTGCCATGTGCTGTCTTGCAATGGGGAAGAAATCTCATCCGTTAATCTTTCTTTGTTTTTTTGGGGGGAAGTAAAAGTATATTTTATTTTTATACACCAAACAGGGTAACAAATCTTACTGGCCTTTTACTGTATTATTTAGTCGTTTTTAGAGGAAAACTTTAACTAGCTCTAAATGGGCATCCAAAAATACTATAATTTATCTCCCTGCTTATAGCAAGTTTACGTAAATCACAGAAAGGAGTTTTGGTCTATGATGATTATTAATATCAAAGTAGTATAAAATAAGAAAATAGCAATAATCACACCTTAATATGATCATTTAAAGTTTTGCATGGTATTTCTGGCCCTGGTCTACATGCATATCTTTTTCCATACAACTGTAATCACAGCATATTAACATTTTATATTGTGGGGTTTTTTTACCTAACATTAATAATTTTTAGGTATTTCTAAGCAGTCTTCATAATTATCACCTTCATGGCTACAGAGTAGCCCACTGCGCTTTGATCTAGGGAACTACAGAGGTCTGCTCTGTATAGAGGAAGACATCAGCTCTCTCGTTCTAGGCTGTGTGTGAGGTCCGGGTTACCTGCCTTGCAGTGTGGCAGCAGACCAAACAGTGTGATGACACTGCGAGCAAGCTCTGTCCAATCAGCACTCGTGGCGCCGAACACCACCCTGAGATGGGGGCTGAACTAGGGAAGGCACAGTCCCGCCTCCTGCCCTCAAGGAATTGTGCGACGCCCCTTAGAGATCAAGTCACTTATACGTTTTTTAAAGTTGGCGGGCTTTACACCTTTTCGAAGTCAGTTTATGGCACTGATGATCTGTTACAGAAGAGCCTGCTAACGATGCCTTTATCTATGTGAGCAATCTGCGTCCAGGACATGTCAAAGACTAAAAAACCAAAGAGGAGTAGATTTCACAACAATAGACTTACATAGAACAATCTCTAAAATAAATGAGCCGCTGAGGTGTTAGCACACCTAGGAGTCTACATAAAAACGGGTAACAGTTGTGACAGTAATTGCTCACATGTACCTAGAATGCAGACAGTGAACACGAAATCGAGAGCTCCAGGCCTAAGAGAGATCCTCTCGCCATTCAGTGTGGCACCTTTGGAATACATCGTGTTTGCTTATTCCCTGCTCTAAGGAGAGGTGGGGGGATAGTCACTAGACCTCTACAGCATAAAACTAGCTGAAGAGAAAACGTCTCACCTGCAAGGACTTCTCTCACAGAATGAAACATGGAAGTAAACACAGAGTCCGTCTCGGGATGGAGTTCTGGGGCCGAAAAGAACAGAGTCAAAAATCGCAAGGCTGCCTGAAAAGACTGTTGCCGTCTTGCCAGGGCCGGCAGTTCCGAAAGTATCTTCGAGTAGGCGTCCTGGTAGAGGGCCGCGTGGGAGATCAACGTGTCCGCTGTCACTTGGGAGCTCTTGGGCCCTCCGTCCCGGCAGCACTGGCTCAGATCAGCCTCCAAGAGTGCACAGACGGCCGGGATAAGGGCTGAGGGAAGGCAGTGGGCCTGGACCCCGAGTGAGGAACAGAGCTGTAACACAGCACCCATCTGCTGCACAGCCTGCTGCAGCAGCCCGGGCAGTGCCGTGGGGGCCTCCTGCCCCAGCTTCCGCTCCTTGAGGAAAGGCCCCAGGACTTGGCACAGCTTGGTTAAAGACACCAGAAGAAGTTGCCTGCCCAAAGCATTGTGGGTTTCTAACTGTCTGCCGGAAGCTGCTTCTGTGTACTGTTTGCAACTAGAGAGGAATGCGGTGATTTTTTGAAAATTGAGCACCAAGCTCAGTTTGATTTGGACAAGCATCTGCATGAGCTCCTCTACAAACGTTCCTACCACCTGGAGGAATTCCAGCCAAGAGGGAGCATCCGTCTCAAGGAGGAATCTAGCACTCGCTTTGAACAAGGAAGTCAGTACAAGCTCAAAAATATCACTAACATACATTATCTTGAACACTGAGCGGGCACTTTTTCCCCTTTGCAGGTAACCAAGAAGCCGGTAGCAAGTCATCAAGAACTTAAGGGCCAGTGAGGAAGAACAAGAGTGTCCCAGTTTGGAGACAGCCATGGACAGTAACAGGAGAAAACAATGCACATGACAGGGCGGCAAAAGGCTGTCCAGCTCTAGAGTCGAAAAAACTTCCAAGAGCCCCAGAATGCTTTCTAATTGTTCTCCCTCCAGCTGGATGGGGAAGTCACTCTTGACCAGGGATAGTAAGTTCTGGGAGACTTCTCCTCTGGGTTCTGTACCCTCAGGTCCAACTTTTGCAAATCTGTTTTCCCAATAAGCCACAGCCATGTGGTCCTTTTCAAAAAGCCAGGGTAGCTGCTGACTTAGAAGAGTTGGGTCACTCTGGGCACCAGAACACAGAATGCTGGAACACCTCCCAGTCATGCACATTAAGAAAGCAGAATGAAGTGACTGCATCTCTGGAAAGAGAGGGCTGTCAAGGATGGCCCTGGATATTTTTTCAAGTGTGATATATGGCTCTTCATCCACTGAGCCTTCCTGGGCTTTGCTCATTGGTAAAGTTCGCAGCAGGACACTGGCCAGGTGCCTCACATCATCTGGACAAAGGTAGGACATTAAAATGGTGAAATTCGACACAACTAAGTGCCAGTGTGCAACTGGGTATGTGAGTGTGCTTACTGTCCCCACCTGGCCATCCCAGCCTGCCATCGTTCTTTGAGTCAAACTTTCTCTGCCAGAACCAATAATAAAGGCAGCATCACATCTCAAACTTTGGAGGGCTTCTTCAGACTGGAAACCAGGTTGCATTACAGTCCTTTTCATTTTCTGCAGGTACAGCTGTTCTAAGCAATACTTCCCCAGAGAGTTAAACTGAGCTGTCAACTTCTCTATCTTCTTCCACTGCTGTGCTTCTACTCCTGGGAGCAGTGGAGGTAGGTTAGAGGTCCCCAGGGCAACCCCAGTCAGGGCCCCAGACACAGAGTGATACCGGCTGCAGTTCAAACTGAACATGGTGTCCACCTGGGCCCAGGTGTAAGAGAGTAGTAGTGCAGCATCACCAACCTTCTGCAGCCACAGCTCAGGATCTGGGCCCAGGGTATCCAGGAGAAGGGCCAGCAGGGGCCGCAAGAGCTCTCCCAGCATCCTCTCCATGGTGCACTCCATGCGTCTGATGACAGGCAGGGGCGTGCTGCTGTCCAGGCTCCTCATGCTGAACATGATACAGTGCAGGAGCGAGCTCAGGGACAGGGACTTCAGGGCCATGTCAGCATCACTCTGCAAACAGGGCAGTACTAAAGACTGGAACTTCTCCAGCACAAGGGACCACGTGTCCAAGACCTGACTCAGAGGCAGCTCTGGGAGGCACGCACAAAGCACGGCAGAGGGGCCCGCGGTCAGGACAGGCTGCCTCAGCGCCTCAGCAGCCGGACGGCAGATCACCCCCAACACCTCCTCAAACAACCGTGGTACCTGTCGAAGTTTGGCATACGTCTGGAAGAGAGTGTGAATAAGTGCCTCCTGGGCTTTCTTGGTTCGAAACTCTGTTACTTCTGCATCAATCCAAGCTGAAGCCAGCAGGTCATCTAAGTCTGGCTCCAAAATCAAATGATTCAGAGACATCAAAGTCTTGAGGCAGCGAAACCAGGCCGGTACGTGTGCTTGCGAGTGGTTGATCAGCAGCTCAGCCAGGCGGCGGTAAAAGCGAAACTGAACCTCTCCATGCCGAATCCTGTCAGCTGCAATGTTGTAGATGTTGCTGTTGGCCACTGAGCTCAGCAGCTGTTCTACAACCAAAAGTTCTGAGGTCCAATCTGATAGGGACAGAGCTTTCGTCTGCTCCTCCTGCAGATGTGAGATCCTCAAGCAGCCAAACAGCCTAGGGAGAGCCTGGAAGCAGAGAAGCTGAGTCCCCTCCTTGTAGTAAGCATCCAGGAAAAGTTTGTAGAGCAAGGCCACCGAGTTGGCCACAACAGTTGCGTGAAGGGACGGTGCACAGTAGCCAGGATCGACCAGCCTGGTGATCACGGTGTCCATGGGAGCTAGAAGGTTCTTCATGGCTCCCATCTTTGCATCCCCTTGCTGCTGGTCCAAGAGCTCCTGCTGGTAGGATGAGAGCAACTCGGGCCGAAAAACTCCACCTCGGAGCACAGCCTCAATCTGACTCCTAACGTCCCGGCTCAGCACCTGCCGCAGCTGATTCTGGCCAGCCTGCGTCCATGTGCCCTCAGAGAGCAAGTGCCTGAGGATCAGGCAGGGCTGGAGCAGGTGCTCAGTCAAATCGCCAAAGGTACGTCGGGGATTCACCTGCTGCTGCTGGAGCGAGAGGTAATAGCCTAGGGCCAGGTGAATGACCTCGAACAACTGAGCTACCACAGCACCTTCAGGCTGCCTGCAGGCCACCCAGCAAAGCTGGCTCAGCAGAGCCACCATCAGCTCTTGCTTGGCCGTGTAGATGACGGCAAGGGCTGGCGTTGAGAGGATGCCCTGGCAGCAGCTCAGGACAGCACAGATGTTTCTCTGGGACCCCGGAAGGAAGAACTCGGCTATCCTCTCATTTATTATCTGAATATTAGGAAAGAAAGAAAACTCATTACTGACCCAAAACCCACACACACACAAAACAATAAACTCACCCTTTGCTCTCATCTTGATGAGAAAGAAATGCTCAGATTATTGTATCTCAATAAACTTGACATTTGCTTAGTGTGTCAAAATAAGGAAAAACTTTTTTTTTTTTAAGAGAAGGTGTCTCACTCTATCTCTAGACTGCCTGCAGACCACCCAGCAAAGCTGGCTCAGCAGTGATCATAGCTGATGATGTGATCATCAGCTGACCTATACCTCCTGGACTCCAGTGATTCCTCCCACCTCTGCCTCCCTAGTAGCTAGCGCTACAAACGCATGCCACCACACCAACTAATTTTTGCATTTTTTGCAAAGACAGGTTCTTGCTATATGGCCCAGGGTGGTAAAGCACCTGTTTTAATTTTTCTACAATCCCATTCCCTACTAATACAAATTCAGAAAAGGATCAGAGTCTTTGTAAATTTGCGGCCCCTCCTGAATAAGCTGGATTTTGTTAAGGCTTGCATGCTAAAAGTACTTCCTCTTAGGTCCTAAATCTGCAATTCAGTTTAGATGCTACCAAGCAAACTACTCACTATCACTTGGGTTACAATCCTATGATCCAAAAAACATGTTTATAGTCAACTAGACTTTTTCCACTAAAAAAAAAAAAATCCAAGCAAAAGGCATTCTTTAAAAATAAAAGCAAATGTTGCCAGTTACTACTTCTCTACAGCAGACCACCAATTGTTTACTGCTCTCAAAATTCCAAAATTGACAAATATCAGAAACTATGAGAGCCAGGCAGATTCCTAAATTCACTCATAGGCTAAGTGACTTGCTCCCAGCTTTATAGAATCTTGAGAATGAAATCTATCCTGGGTGCCAAGTTCAGCAGCACAATGAGAGAGGTATTTTTATTTCCATTTGAGTAGCTGCTGGCCACAGACTTAGGTCACTCTGGAAAAGCTGTAACAAAAATAATAAGTCTGTAAATGCCAACGTTCTACTATATTGATCGTCCAAATTTTTCATTACACAACTCATTAATAAAAATTATTCCCACATTTACACCTGGTAAGTGTAATTTGTTTATAGGCTGCATATATATACAACAGTGTTAATATTTTACATAATTATACAGCATTCGTAAAAATTACATAAGTATGTTTTTTTAAACAAAAAGATATTCTAAGATTTCTTCCCATACCCCAAGGACTATTCAGAATAACCCACTTTGGTGACCATTGGTTTATTATTTTAAAAAGTGACACCATTTGGAACACAATTTCAGGAACCATTAAAGTTTATGAACCATCAGCTAGCTCAATCATTTCATCTTTCTCGACCACCAGTACACTTATGAAGGTGAGCCACTGTGTTGGTTTCACAGCACAAGCTTGCATTCAGGCAGATGATGTTCAAATCCCAGCTCTGCCGCTCACTAGCTATGTAACTTTTAGGAAAGCTACTTAACCCGAGCCTGACACACACTACGTGTTCATTAGTAGTAGTTTTTACTGTAATTAGATCTACTCATGGTATTTCAAAATACTCATTTTTGACAATGAAGCTCATACTTCTGATCTGAGATTTCAGAATAACTTGTAGACAAAAAAACCTTTGAGGAAGTTCCTATCCAGATTTTGGCCTTTTATCTCCCTCCAGGCCAACAGCAAGGTATAGGAAAAAAATAAAACCAGAGTGGTATAATTTTCTGGCTACCATTTCCAATTTAAAAATTTATCAACAACCTATCTATGAAATAGTTCTAAATTTTTCTTGAAAATCAAATATCAAAATACTTAGCACAGTACAGAGCATACAATAGGCAACTGACAGACACCAGTTATTATTATAATTCTAATAGTGTCATTACTTGAGTCTCCTCCCCTACCTCGCTATTTCCTGTAACTTCCTATAATTGACCCCAAAACAAATAAGCCTCTAGCATTAACAGAAAATCAAGAGATGCATGTAACACAAGCAAAGTGTCTGTTAATTACCTTGACCAGGGAAATCTGAAGGTTAATTGTCTTTCCATCCTTGAGGAGATTCTGCAATTTTCTGCTATGTAAAATGTTATCTATGTAGATCCAAAGCCTTTCAACAATACCTTCCTTTAGTTCAAGTTTTTTCTTATAAAATGCAACCAATGACTGTCTTGCCCAATCAAGTAGTACCTGAATTTGGAGGAAACATACACTGAAATAAATGTATTGGCCACGAGAGAAAGATGCTGGACATTAAAGGACCACTGCAGTCATAACCAAATGCAATCGCCAGGAATACAAAAACAAATAACTCTCATTTAAAACTTACCTGTAGTAATGTTGTGTAACATAAATGTTTGGGGATATCTTTTTTCTTTTTCTTTTCAAGTCGGGGTGTCACTCTGTCACCCAGGCTGGAGTGTGGCACAAATAGAGCTCACGGCAGTCCTGACCTCCGCGGTCTTTCTGCCTCAGCCTCCTGAGCAGCTGGGACTACAGTCATGTGCCACCATGCCCGGCTAATTTCTTTATTTTCTGTAGAGATGAGGTCTCACTATGGTTGCCAGGCTGGTCTCAAACTCCAGGGCTCAAGCAATCCTCCCAAGCCAGCCTCCCCAAAAGTGCTAGGATTACAGGTGTGAGCCACTGTACCCAGTCTATTTTGGTATATTAGAATGTTTACTATTCAAGGATGAAAAGGGAAAAACAACTAATTTTATCTTCATCTAGGGCAAACAGAATGTTTTAGGTAAAACTCTGCATGTCTTATTCCCTTTTCTGAAGGTATGCAGGCATACCTCCTTTTACTGCACTTTGTAGACACTGCTCTTTCTATAAATTGGAGATTTGCAGCAACCTTGCTTCAAGTAAGTTTACCGGCACCATTTTCCAACAGCACGTGCTCAATTAGTGTCCCCTTGTGTCACCTTTTGGTAATTCCCACGATATTTCAAACATTTTAATTGTAATTATTATTATACCTGTTATCAGAAAGATCAGTGATTTCTGACATTACTGATTAATAACTGCTGATAATTATAATTGTTTGGGGGCACCCCAAGCCACACCCACATAAGATGGTGAGCTTCATCAATAAGTGTTGAGCACGTTCTGGCTGCTCTGCCAACCGGCTAGTCCCCCGTCTCTGTCCCTCTCCTCAGGCCTCCCTGAGACACAATAATTTTGAATTTTGAAATTCAGTGAACTAGCAACCCTACAATGGCCTCTAAGTGTTCAAGTGAAAGGAAGAGTGGCATGTCTCTCACTCTAAACAAAAGCTAGAAATGATTCAGCTTAGTAGAGAACACATGTTGAAAGCAGAAACAGGCCAAAAGCCAGGCCTCTTGCACCAAACAGCCAAGTTGTGAATGCAAAGGAAACAAATTAAGTGCTACTCCAGTGAACACAGGATGATAAGCAAGTAAACAGCCTTACTGCGGATATGGAGAAAGTTTGAGATTAGGCTTTGGAGTAAAGCCCCAATTCTCTTCAATTCTGTGAAGATTGAGAGGTGAAGAAGCTGCAGAAGAAAAGTCTGAAGCTAGCAGAGGTTGGTTCATGAGATTTAAGGAAAGAAACCATCTCCATTACATAAAAGGGCAAAGTGAAGCAGTAAGTGCTGATGGAGAAGCTGGAGAGGCTGCAGCAAGTGATCCAGCAGATCACTGACGAAGGTGGCCATGCTGAACAAGAGTTTTTCTTATTTTTTTTTTAATATGGAATGCTTCACGAATTTGTGAGGTTTTCAATGAGATGAAACAGCCTACTGGAAGATACCATCTAGAACTTTCATAGCTAGAGACAAGTAAAGTCTGGCTTCAAAGGACAAACTCTTTTGGTAGGAACAAATTTAGTTGGTGACTTTAAGCTGGAGCCAATGCTTACTGACCATTTCAAAAATCCTAAGGCCCTTAAGAATTATGCTGAATCTGCTCTGCCTATGCTCTATAAATGGAAAAACAAAGCCTGTCAAGCACATCTGTTAACAGCATGGCTTACTAAATACTTTAAGTTCGCTGTTGAAACCTACTACTCATAAAAAACGATTCCTTTCAAAATATGACTGATCACTAGGCAACATAAGGTGACCCTGTCTCTAAAAAAAAGTAAATTAGCAGCTAGGTACAGTGGTACATCTGTAGTACCAGTTACTTGGGAGGCTAAGGGAGGAGGATCACTTGAGTCCAGGAGTTCAAGGCTGCAGAGAGCCATCATCATGCCAGTGCACTCCAGCCTGAGCAACAGAGCAAGACGCTGTCGCTTTAAAAAGTTAAATAAATAAGAGCTGTCATAACCACCCCAACCTTCAACAATCAACCCCCTGATCAGTTAGTAACCATCAACATGGAGGCAAGACCTTCTACCAGCTAAATGATTACAATTTGCTGACAACTCAGATGATCATTTAGCGCGCTTTAATTTTTTTTTTGAGTTGGAGTCTCACTCTGTCGCCCAGACTGGAGTGCAGTGGCCGTTCCCGGCCACCGCAGCCTCGATCTGCTGGGCTCTGGCGATCCTTCCGCCTCAGCCTTTCGAGTAGCCGGAATTACAGGCGCGCGCAACCACAACCGGCTGATTTTTTGATTTATTGTAGAGATGAGGTCTCGCCAAGTTGCCCAGGCGGGTCTCGAACCCGCGGGCTCAGGCAATCCACTCACCTTGGCCTCCCAAAGCACTGGGATTACAGGCTGAGCCACCTATTAGTGCGCTTTTAAACAATAAAGCATTTTTAAATTAAGTATGTACACTGGTTTTTTTTTAAAGACATAATGTAATCGCAAACTTAATAGACTACAGTATATTGCAAGATTTACTTTAATATGGTGGTCTGGAAAGAAACCTGCAGACTCTCTGAGGTCTGCCTGTAATAAGTTTTAAAAGTTAGAAGTACAACAGCAACTGCTCAGAATGACCAAAGAATGAATTGCACCACAAAACCAAAAAGCAAACTAGAGTCCTGGACAACAGAGCAGGCAATGAATTTATGGCCAAGTCCTCAAAAGCAAATGCAACAAAAGCTAAGATTGACAGGTGGGACCTAATCAAACTGAAAAATTTTTGCACAGCAGAAGAAACCATCAACAGAGTGAAGAGATAACCCACAAAATAGCGAAAAATATTTGCAAGCTATGCATCTGACAAAGGCCTAACATTCAAGATCTACAAGGAAGTCAAACGCATTGAAAGGAAAAAAAAACCCACTTAAAAGTGGGCAAGGACATAAACAGACAGACATTTTTCCAAAGGAAGACATACAAGGAGCCAACAAACACATGAAACATGCTCAGCCTCACTGATCATGAGAGAAATGCAAATCAAAGCTACAGTGAGATAACACCCAACACCAGTAAGGATGACTATCATTAAAAAGTTAAAAACAGCCAGGCTCGGTGGCTCAGCCTGGAATCCTGTGCTTTGGGAGGCTGAGGTGAGTGGACTGCCTGAGCCCGCAGGTTCGAGACCCGCCTGGGCAACTTGGCGAGACCACATCTCTACAATAAATCAAAAAATTAGCTGGGTGTGGTAGCACGCACCTGTAGTTCCAGCTACTTGGAAGGCTGAGGCAGAAGGATCGCCGGGAGCAGCCACTGCACTCCAGTCTGGGTGACAGTGAGACTCCAACTCAAAAAAAAAAAGTTAAAAACAAGAACAAAAAACAGGTACAGGTAGAGAAAAGGGAATGCTTCTACACTGTTGGTGGGAATGTAAGCTAATTTAACCTTTGTGGGAAGCAGTGTGGTGATTTCTCAAAGAAAAATTGAGCTTCCATATGATCCAGCAATCTCTCTTCTGTAAATACACCCAGAAGAACATAAATCACTCTACCAAAAAGACACACCTGCACACACATATTTACTGCAGCACTATTCACAAGAGCAAAAACATGGAACCAACCCAGATGCCCATTGAACACGGACCGGATAAAGAAAACGTAGTACATACACATAATGGACTATTACACAGCCATAAAGAACAAAATCATGGCCTTCATGGCAATACGGATGCAGCTGGAGACCATCATACTAAGTGAACTATCACAGAAACAAAGAACTGAAAACCACATGCTGTCACTTGAAAGCGGGCCCCAATCATTGGTCACAGGAGCACAAGGGCGGGATTAGCAGGTGCTAGCCAGACACTGGGGGGGGGGCACATGGCAACACACTGGGTACCTGGTCCACTGTCAGTGGAAGATAGGGCAGCTGGAAGCCCAAACTTCACCCGCATGCACTTACTTATACAGTCAATATTCACCTATACATCAACTCTAAAGTTTAAAAAAAACCCAAAAAACAGAACAGGAGTCCTGGCTGCCCCCACATTACCAGCACCTTTAACTTCTAAAACTGTTTATACTTCATCCAGGAGGCAGAGACAGCCAATATGGAATAACACACAAGTGCTTTATGACAAGGAGGACTATGTATGCAGTTTCCGGTGCTCCTCATGATTCTTCATCCACAAAATGTTGAAGGGGGTGAGGGCTCAGTTCATACCATTAACTGTCAACAACAGTATGAATAGTGGCAGATGCCAGAAAGAAAAAACCTCCCAGGATTAAAACCTGGATCAAACTGCCTGCCAGGGCCTCCCCGCCATCATATCCACGCAGGCAACTACCAAGGCACCACGGTGAACCTAGGTGCAGTCAAGCAAAAAAACCACTAGGTATGATCAATGCTAGCATATGTAATCCATCTTTGACACATTTTGTGCTGCCTTCTTAAAGATCAGCAAATGGGTATGTATTAATCCAGTTTCATGAGCCTGTTGTACTGGTGTTTATCACACTGACTATTTTTTTAGCTTCAGAAATCTTAACAAAAAGTAATGCCTTTCTTGGTACCTAGCCTATTTCTAGATTGGCTTTATACAAATGCTAACACTTCTCTACTTCCCAATCTTCAATTTATCAAATTCTGAAGATTTTAAATAAAGTACCACCAACCAATTGCTTATAGAACTTTGCTCTGAATTTATGAACAAATGGAGACATCAACAAACTTTCAGAAACTAACTTCCACAACTTAACTCTCAATGTGTTCATTAATACATATACTTAATGAGTTTTCAGCAAAAATTTATTAATGAAATATCTGACGTATCACTTTTATCACTGATGTTACTTTTAACTTCCAACAAAGATCCCCCCTAACCTTTTAAAATTGTAACCAAATGTCAACATGCACTTTATACAAGTGATAAGTATCTTGATAGTCTGTAAAGACATGAGTTTCACTATAAACTTACTTGTTCTTTATTTGGAAGGAAGCACTGGTGGGAAATCCAAGCAAAATGAGCTAGTTTTAATTTATCCTCCCAGGAAGTTGTCTTGCTCTTAAGCTTAAGAGAAATGCCAGAGTAAACAGCAGCCATTGCTGTAGTTTATCTGTAATTAAAAGCAATGAAAAAAAAAATACCACAATAAGGTACCAGAAACAAACAGTATTGCAACTTATCGTCTGCATAATACACATTATCTTAAAATATTGTAATGAATTAAGTCACATCAACAAAATTGTCAGGGGTTAATCTATACATAAGATGCTTGATTCTGTGAATTTTCTAAGGAAGATTCTGACAAAAGCAGGCGTAAAATGGGCTGCACACACAAGTATTTCAACTGTGATCAAAGATCCCATTTGCAGAGGTGAGTGTGAAGGAGTTCAACAAGGCAAAAGTCAAAGTGTTTAGGTTACTCGGGGAAAGTGGTTTTGGACTGAAGAGGAAAGATAAACAAGCAGTATCTATCCGACGAAAGTAATATGCCTCCAGGTGAAAAAGAAGCATAGGCTTAACCTAATCCCAAAGGAAATACTGCTGCTTTAGATGTAACATGATTTCTCACTCTTTTATTCATTCATGTATGAATTTACAGCACACAGAAGATACTTACACAATTAAAATACCGTAAAAATAGAACATCATAAAATCATGAATAGGGGTAGAGGGAGCAAACATACCAACCATCTGCAGCTATTATAAAACTGGGTAAACTTGACTCTGAGTTTCCCAAAAGTTACAGAAAAAAGAAAAACACAGACCAGATTAAGTCATTTTCATTATAGAAAACTGGACAAGTCAATTCCTCAAGAAAGAAGAATTCCCATAACAGCAGCACAAAAAATTAAAACTAGTGCAAATAAAAACAAATTCGAGCCACAAAGATACGTTAAAAAAAAATCAGGCCAGACACCGTGGTCACACCAGGAATCCCGGCACTCTGGGAGGCCGAGTCGGGAGGACTGCTGGAACCCGGGCGTTCGAGGCCAGCCTAAGCCACACAGAGGCTCTCCACCAAGAAAAAAATTCCCGGCATGGCAGACACACCCGCAGGCCCGGCTACCCAGAAGCCTGCGCGAGGGCCGCCCGAGCCCAGG